TTGGGGGGCACGGGGTGAGGGGCTTCGCGCCGTGAGGAGCGGGGGGGACCCGYGGTGGGGGACCCCCTGTGCGGGTTTTGAGGGGGGGGCTGCAATGGGGGTACCCCTGTGCGGGTGGGGGGCTGCAGTGGGGGACCCGTGCGGGTCCCGGGGGGGTTGCAATAGGGACCCCTGTGTGGTTTGGGGAGTGGGCTGCAATGGGGGTCCCGGTGCGGGTCGAGGGGAGCTGCGATGGGGGTCCCGGTGCGGTTCGGTGCGGGGCTGCAGAGGGGTCCCCGGTAACGGTGCGGGGGGGGGTCCTGCGCATCGCCAGGTCCCGGTGCGGCTCGAGGGGGGAGAACCCGTGCAACGGGGGGGCCCTGCAGTCCGGAGGGGTCCCCGTGCAGTTCGGGGGTGCTCTGCGGTTTGGGGGRTCCCGGTGCCATTCCGCGGGGCCCCGCAATGAGCGCTCCCGGCGCGGTGCGGGGGGGTGGGTGYGGGTCGGGGTCCCGGTGCGATGGGTTCGCACGGTGCGGTGGGGAGGGGTCCCCGGTGCGGTCGGGGGTCCCCGCAGTGTCGGGGGGCTCTGCGGTGTCGGGGGGTTCCGTGCGCCGGCACGGCGGCGGCTCCGCAGCGCGGCCGGGGGGGGCCGGGGGGGCCCCGCTGCACCGCACCGGGCTCGGCGCTTACCGGCAGCGCGGGTGCCGCGTCCCCACCGGGGGCTCCGTCCCGCCGCGTGGCCCTCGTGGGTGACACCCCCAGACCCCCATCTCGGGGTGCTGCCTGCGTTTGGGACCGCGCGGGGGGGTCAGCGTGTGGCCCCCCGCCACCCGTGTCCTTACGGGGGTCCCACCCGTGTTTGGGGAGTCCTTCCCTGCCACCCCCCCCCGAGCTCCCCCTTTGCGGAGCCCCCCCTTTTCCTGCAGAGCTTTGAGTGACGCTGCCGACCCCCCCCAGGTCCCCGCTGTCACCCCAGGTCACTTTTGGGGTGCTCGCAGGTCCCCCCATCTCGGGGGGCAGCAGAGGGGAGCGGGGCCCCATCCTTCCACGGGGGGATGCTCGGGGGGGCTCAGCGCGGGTTCCACCCCCCCGTTTGATACCGGGGGGTGAATTTTGGGGGTCCGGGGGTGCTGACAGGCTCTTGGTCCCGCAGGGCCCCCGGGCGGCGCGGGCACAGCCCCGGTGCCCCGGCCGGCGCTGACGGACCTGCGCCTCTCCGAGCCCCCCCGGCACCCGCGGGCCACCATGGACCCCCAGAGCGACACAGGTGAGACCCGCGACCCCCGGGCCTGGGGGGCTGCACCGGTGCTCGGTCCCCCAGCCCTGTCCTCGCTGTGGCCCCAAAACCCCTCACTGTGGCACCGGCGGGCTTTGGGGTACCGGGGGCTGCAGCAGCGTCCCGGCCAGCACGAGGTACCCGGACACCGGGACGGTCCCCGGACACCGAGGGGACACCAGGACTGTGCCATCCCTCCCCCCCGGTTATCCCCTCCCGGTGTTCCCAGACCCTCAGCATCCTCCCGCCGTGAGGGGAAACTGAGGCACGGCTCCTGTCACCGTCGTGGCACTGCTCACACGTGGCTCTTTATGGCACCGGGGGCGGGTCCCCGCGGGTCCCCCTGGGGTCCCCTGCGGTGCCACGCGTGGGGACAGCCGCGGTGACCGCCAGGGCCGTGCCCGCGCTGTCCCGGCTCCCGCTGGCTCCCCCGGCARAGCCGCCCTGTAATTATCCCGGTGGCAACTCCGGCGACATCTGGATGCGCTCATGTCCCCAACCCCACCCCGAGGGGACACGCGGCAGCGCCGACACCCGCGGGCTCTGCCGGGGGAAACTGAGGCCCGGGGCGGTGGCAGAGCCCCGTGTTTGGCTCCTGGGGGGGAAGGTGTGTGTCCCCTCTGTCCCCAAGCCCCCCGCCGGTATTTCTGGAGCGTCGCCCGGCCGTGCCTGGCACGGGGCTGGCACGCGGCGCGGTGGCACGGGGACACGGTGGTGGCACAGGGGACACGGCTGGGATGCCTCTGCCACCCCCGGGGGTGCTTTCCCGTCCCGGCTGCGGCTTTGGGTGTGTTTGGGGGATATTGGGGACCCCTCGGGGGTGTTGTGATGAGTTGGGCAGGTCTCAGCTGGGCTGGGGCCATCAGGGGTGTGGCCGAGGCCACCGCGGTCCCCAAGGAACCCTTGGTGGCTCCGTGACCCCCAGGGCTTCCCAACTGCAGCCTCATCCCAAAACCGGGGGGTCCCGTGGGTGCCGATCCCATCCCGGGGCGCAGCCGAGTTTTTGGGGGTCCCCACCATCCTCCCACGCCCCAGATGTGCCACCACCGCTGGAGGGGACTCCACGGGCCGGGTCACCACTGTCCCCTGCCGTGGGAGCCRGGAAAGGGCTCTGGGACTTGGAAYGGGGCTCGGACCACCCCRAAGGGAGTCYGGGAGCCAGGAAWGGRGTCCGGGAGSCAGGAAAGGGGTCCGGGAGCCGGGAAAGGGGTCCGGGAGSCAGGAAAGGGGTCCGRGAGGCAGGAAAGGGGTCYGGGAGCCRGGAAAGGGGTCCGGGAGCCAGGAAAGGGGTCCGGGAGCCAGGAAAGGGGTCCRGGAGCCAGGAAAGRGGTCCGRGAGCCGGGAGGGCCCATTCCCGCGGCCTCCTGCCCGCTGGCAGCACCAGAAATAGCCAGGCTGACGTCAAGCCCCAAAGCACCCCGGGGGGGGCGGGGGGGTGTCCCAGAAATATCCCGGCTATTAAAAGTCTTGGCCGGGGATTAACGTGTGGTAAATAAACGTGGCGGTGCCCGTGGTTTGGGGGGGGGGGATTACACACGGGCGGGGAGCTGGAGGGGTCCCCGTAACACGAGGGGAAGTCCCTGTCCCCATAAAAAACCCCAAAAGGAGGAGGGGGTTCCCACCTCAGCGCGTTGTCACCCCCTCCTCGTGTTTGTCCCCCCCAGGAGCCACCTGGGGACGCTGACCCGGCGGGAAATGTGCTGAGCTGGCGTCTGTGCGCCCCCAAACCCTTTTGGGGTGGTTTTGGGGCATTCAGAGGGGGTCTGGAATAGGGTGGGGAGGGGTCTCCTGCCTGCGTTTCCCCRGAGCGGGGGTTAATCCCCCTCGGCACATCCCGGGTTTATTCCCGGCGGTGCTGATGCGGATTAAYGTCCCCGTTAATTAGGGGGATGTGGGGCGGGGGTCGTGGCAATCCCGAGCTCCCCCCGCAGCCTCCCCCAGCCGGGGCAGCCCCTGTCCCCCTCCCTCGGGGAAATTCGGGGGTGCAGCTGGGTTTTTTAGGGGGGTGGGAACAGCGGGATCGCTTGTGGCCCCCCCGGCACAATTCCCTATTTTTAGCGGGCTCCTCCCGTGCTCTGGCTATTTCCAGGCGCCGGAGAGCATAGCCTGGATTTTGGGGGGGGGGTGCGTGGGTGAGGGGGGGCCCTTCAGCCCTGTCCTGGCTGCAACGGGGGGGCTGCGTTTGCTCCTGACACCCCCAAACCCCCAGGAATACTCTGTGACCCCCAACCCCAGCATTTCCCTACCCCCACCCACCGAGGGGGGAAACTGAGGTTGGGTATGGGGGTGCCTCCAAAGTGCCCCCCAAAAGTTCTCAGCCCGTTCAGGGGGTCTCTCATGGTGTCTCTCCTCAGAGGGGGGGTCCGGCCGTGAGCCCCCGCTGGAGCTCCTGCCCCGTGTCCCGCTGCACGCTGCCCTGCCCGCCCCAGGTGAGTGGGTGGCCCCAAAACATGGTGAAACCTCCTCCCCAATGAAATTCGTACCCCAAAACCCGGTGAAACCCACCCCCCAATGAAACCCAACCCCCAAAACCCGGTGAAAACCCCTCCCCAAAACCCGGTGAAACCTGCTGCCCAATGAAACTCGCCCCCAAAACGCAGCGAAACCCGTTCCCCAATAAAACCTGCCCCCCAAAACTCGGTGAAACCCACCCCCAAAAACCCGGTGAAAACCCCTCCCCAAAACCCGGTGAAACCCACTGCTCAATGAAAGTCGCCCCCCAAAACCCAGTGAAACCTGTTCCCCGATAAAACCTGCCCCCCAAAACCCGGTGAAACCCACCCCCCAAAACCCGGTGAAAACCTCTCCCCAAAACCCTGTGAAACCCGCTCCCCAGTGAAAGTCGCCCCCAAAACCTGGTGAGACCCCCTCCCCAATGAAACTCGCCCCCCATAACCCAGTGAAACCCGTTCCCTGATAAAACCCACCCCCCAAAAACCCAGTGAAAGCCGGCCCCCAAAACCCGGTGAGGTCCCCCGCGGGTTTGCAGGGTTGTGCAAGGAGGGTCCTGCTCTCTTTGCACGAGCGTGATCAGAGGGGAAGAGCTCCCCCTTGCACGAATGCATGTGCAAGGGCAGATGTGCAAGGATGCGTGTGCAAGGACGGGTGTGCAGGGACAGGTGCTCCAGCCCTTGGGGTGCTGCCCCCCCATATCCGAGGTGGATCAAGGGGTCCCCCTGATGTGTCCCCGTTCCATGGGGACACCCCCACTGTGCCCACCCAAAAGGGGGGGCCCTGGGCAGCGAGGGGTTAAACCGCAGGGTGGGGTGGTGTCCCCAGCTCAGAGCCACCCCAAAGCCACCCCTGACCCCGGGTTGGCACCTTTGGGGGCTGTTTGTACCCCCCCATTGC